TTGGACTCCGGCGGGAACCCCTGATCCAACATGGGCTACTAACCAACCAACCCAACATAGTATTTAGGAATCTGTGAGGTTCAGGTTTTCGTTAGGAAATCTAGCGCTCTAACCACTGAGCCACTGGATCGTTCTGTAAAGCGAGCCAGCGACGGCTAATAAGCCAAAAATGACATTCCCCGTTTCCCTTATCTTTATTGGTAATCTTCTGTCCATACTAATCGCCGTTGTGTAGAGTTTTGCATCGAGCCTCAAAACACAACACCACGAGCATGTCCCGTAACCCGATCTGTAAACACATTTCCAACCTAGGATACAATATCTTTTTAAAAATGCCTGCTGTTACCGAACCCCTTCTTAAGAATACCTGAAAGGTAGCTGCCTGCGTCAATGCCATGAAGCTTTTGAACATAGGCAGAGAGATGTCCATGACTGACAGGTCTCTTAAGACAGTGCATCTTCTAGTCTGCGTGCTCCATCTTCTGAACAAAACAACCTAAGCCGTTTCGGAGCAGCCACCTGGGCGTGACCAGTCACTGTAACTGATTGTTCCTGGGTCATGCATCGTGCTGAGTTAGTAAAGCCTAGTCAAACTAGTGTGAAGTTGACTTTTTCGGAGTTCAGCCATTGCTTACTTGCCAAGAAGCTACATTTTTCCTAGCATTTCTAGAAAAAGCCTTACTACTAGGGCAGATTCAATAGGGTGAATTCGCTTAGTCCCATACTGTTTATGGATGTATTTTTGTTTGTGACACGGTCGTGGAATCGTCTGATGGACACGTTGTAATCTCCCATGTTGACACGATAATCCGCCAGAAATAACAAGGCTGGACGTTGGAACGTCTGTAGCTGCTTTCTGTAAGTCTTCGTAGTACATATAAACTGCGGTCAGCATTGAAACATACTTTGTGGGGTGAAGGATTTGAAGAGCACCAATCTCCCAACTGTTAGTGAGGCTTTGTCCAAATCACTCAGAACAGTTGCGACACAGTGCCGCTCAGAGATCGGCGGCATTATGACGGTTAGTATAAACTTATATATCGCGTCCTAGAGTCTTGTTGGTACGTGGCAAGTGTACACCGTGAAAAGCGAACACCGTCCACTTGGTATTGTATCACTGCTTCTCCCGACTGGGTATCGAGGAATCAGTGCCGGAGTTTCGCATTCTATCAATGAACATCACTTATCTTTTAAAACTTGTTATCAGCAAATAACCTAATTTTCAGTTCATAGTTTATTAAATTTTTTCCTATTCTCTCTTTAGAAGGCAGCACCAACAAAAGAATGACGAAGTGCAGCATCTGAGGGATGAGGTATGCGTCAAGGTTGATATGCATTCTACCGTCTGCTGCCCATCACTAAGCCCTTGCTAAACCAGCACTCTTTTTACAGATCGCCTCATTGAAAGAGGAGCTCTACATGAAGGTAGGCGAACTTTCGAGCCTGAAGGAAGCCAGCAGTCGAAGCGCAGCTGCGAATATGGAGACAGTTCGTAAGCTGAAGATGCAACTGGCTTCTGAACGCGAGGAGGCTCGTAAAACGATGGCTGCTCTTGGTAGTCAACTGGCCTTCAGGGAGGCAGACTACCAGCTCGTGGCATCTGAACTGGCGCAAGCCAAAGAAGCAGTGGCGTCTCAGGCGGTCGCTTCTGCTACTGACGCTTCAAATACTGCTGCCGTGGGAATTCTCACTTTAAGTAAGAGCAAATATTTGGAGGATTTTATTGCAAGTTCTAAGTGATTTTTAACATCTGTCTCAATTCGTGTTATTTGAAAACTCGTTGTGTCAACAATCTCTTTCTGTTTTTTAATCTAACTGTCGAACTAGAGAGTTTTCAGTAACACCAGATATAGGTTATCGTAGTTGTCTTAAGCAACTACTTATTGTTAGTTGTAGTATTAATTTTGACTTTCTTTTGGTTCCTATGTCAAAAACCATGATTGGAAAGTAAGATCTCAGTTATTTCTAAAGGAGAACTTGTCATTATTATTCACTCCTGCAAAATTGATCTGCGGGCCTTTTTGAGCTATATTGATTTCCATCCAGCTTTTCTCTACATTAAGATGTAATAAAGGGCGGTAATACCCTCTTTAGACAAGTCGTACAAATGCTGTTATTGATTACATTGCCAACTCCGTTGATGCAGACTTCATCTTATTATTGATGTTTTCTGTCATATTCTCATTTTCGCATTCAAGTGAATGTGGATAAAGCCGTCATAGGGTTTGCATTTATCGAATCCAGCGAAGTCTGCATAAAATTTGCCGTCACTGGACCACTTTAAACTCGCACATGGCGTAGAATTCGTGACACCGATGTTCCCAGTCTTACTGTGCTAAAGACACGACCGTCCCTTAAGAGAGGGCACAATTTAGTTTATAATTTAGGATTTATTAACTGAGAAAAACTTCCGTTATCAAGCGATTGTATTGCATGTCACCTATTTAAGACTTAGTATAACGGACAGTAAGAACGGGAAATGCAACAGAACGAGGGGATGATAAAAATAATAATTAAGCAATACAAAGTGCTTATATTGTGCTGATTGTTCTTTTGCCTGCCATATACTAGTAAATTTCGCGGACATAGAAACCAGTAAGTTGTCTATGCTAGACTTGTTTGTGAACGCATTAAGTGCAAAATCGTCTTTTAGTTGTATGGACAAGTGTCTTTTTGTCTTGTCCCAATTTCTTTTGTTTTCTGTAAAAAAATTGACAGGACTATAACCGTAAGCTAAATTAGAATCACATCTTTTGGGCACTGAACATGGGCATTGTCCTGCAACATTATGGTGTCTATTCGCCTTAAGTGAACGCCGTTATAATCGGAGGCATCCTTTACGGCTTCGACTATCACCTTGCTATTGATGATTTCCCTTGTCAACCGCCAGATTGGTCACCCTCAAAATTTGATGACCTTTCAAACCACTAGAGCTCGGTGGTTCTTAAAATTTGTTATCAACACAATGTATCCTTGTGATAAGTCCTTCCCACGTATGACCAACTAGTCCGACTTCGGAGGCCTGTGTAAATATAAAACTGAATTACAAAAGTAAGTACGTGCCTAGAGTGAAGTTCTGTGTGTTTGTATACTCTTGGGTGAGTAAAAACCACCTCTAATCGGTTTCCTATTTAAATCTGGCTTTGTCATAGTGTTTTGTTTTCGAAGGCCGATTTCCGTCGTCCTTTTCACAATTACTGGCAGAGAGTTTCGAAAAGTTATTCCTAACGATAGCCTTAATAGACATCAATGGTGTACGACTTGGTCTCGCTTGCTTGTAAATCGTTTTGGTTCACCTTGCTTTTCCTTAGGCACTCTTCCATTATCATTTTTCATAATGACCTGATCGATCTTGAATGTACTGGATAACGACCCACTTTGCTGCCCATCGGCTGCCAATTTCCGTATGCGTCGATGGCCGACAGGGACGACTTTGTTATCAGAATCGCGCGGCGTGATGCAGAAAATTGGCAGCATGTCGCGGGGTCACAATATATACAGTACGGCGCATAAGTCGTGGAAGATGCCGAAGTTTGCGAAAGATTGATAATCCCTCGCAAACCGGCATTACGAAAACACAGAAATAATAATAAACAACCTTACGCAAATTTTCTATTCAAAAGATACGTAAAACGTACTGACTTTGTTAAGAAAAATAAATATTTCTTAATAACACACAAGTTCCTCAAACGTAAAAAAGTTGCTGTAAATTTTAGCAATAAATTCAAACCATTTCTTAAGTTAAATGAATAAGCTTGCCACGTTCTTTAAACCAAAAGAAGTTTTCCTTAGTCAAAATATTTTAATCATATTGCCGTTATTTAATCACAATGAGTTTAAAAAATTGACCTTTGAATTCCGACAAATTTTCGACGACTTTCTGTCTTTTGAAGATTCGCTTGCTGTTTCTGTTCGATGTTTATGTCAAAACTTTTAAAATAAGAGATCTAATAAAATCATTGGCGAAAAAACAAGTTTTTAACTATTATTTCATATGAAGATGGTCATGTGGGCCATATTTAGAAATTCCTCCAAACAGCAAAACACATTATCGAGCAAAAAAGAACGTCCACAACAGAAATCTGGTATTGTTATTCCTAAGATTAAAAAAGAAATTATCTAAAAAGCACCTCAATTAGATATTCAGCTGATGAATATCTGGGCATGCCACCTTTTTTTACAGGTAATGGCAAAACGAAAATGGCGAATTTTGACAAGTTTTCTAATTTACCCGAAGATAAATGGTACCTTAGTGGATTATTTTCACGTTCTGTTCTAAGCTTGTGAATGCAAAAAAATCGCCGAATTTCTACTAAGAAATTGCAATCTGTATACTCTGTATACTTAATAAAAGTGAGTTGCCTGTCTGTCGTGTGTGTCTCCGTTATCATTGGTCGAAGGGGTCACCTCAAAAAGCCTTCTGCGCCTTCGACGCGCGTGTGGCACTGGCATGCGCAAGTGTGTGTTTCTCTACTGCCCGAGCGTGCGCCCTGGCATGCGCGTGTGTGTGTTTCTCTACTGTCCGAGCG